AGCCACTGGCGCTCCAGCTGAGCGACCTTCGCCAAGGGCAGATCGGCGCTCGATCTTCGTAAAGGGATTTTAGGGTTTAGGGCTTTGGGGGTTTAGGGTTTAGGGCTTGGGGTGTAGGATTTGGGGTTTAGGGCTTAGGGCTTAGGGCTTTGATCTTCATAAAGGGTACTGCAACAACGCTACAAGGTTTCCATAAGGGCATTGTACGGCTTCTATATGGTGGTTCGACAAAGTTTTCGGGTTTAGAAGTTTGAGGGCGCTGGGCTTAGCCCCAGAGCGCGCAATCCTGCTTAATCAGGGGATAGACCTTAAGTCATAGGGGCCGATTATTATGGTTTAAGGATATTCAAGGTACATTCCTCGCCTGAGTGCCCTCTTAAATACCTATCATTTCGGGTTTCGATTGCAGCTCTAAGATCGGCACCTTTTTTGGTAGGACCGAAGTATATACTGTACTAGGGTTTTGGGGTGCCTTCTAGGATAGAGATGCAAGTATATCAGTTTCTCCATGGTTTCTATCTGTCTATCGAGGTGATCTTCGACCTGTCCACGTTTCAATCCGTCGTCTGCTTTGCTGACCTTCGTACCTGCATATCTGGCTGGCTGGCTGGGGCTACTCCTTCTACCGTCCATCAATGTTCATGTACTTGCTGGGTTTAGGGTTTAGGGTTTAGGGCACTGTTCTGTTGTGGTTCGAACAAGATGTTGTGATTCGAGTACACGTTGTGTGGCACCATGCTGCCTACCCTTGTTACTTGCCATGACATTCCTCTGCATTTGTGGCTAGCCATATTTGCGCATGGGTGCAAGTGTGCTCTGTGGTGCTGAACATCTGTTGCATATCAAAGCTGATACGGTAGAAGGCACAGAGCTGCTGAGGCTAGCAGCTTGACACATCCTGCCTAGCATCATTCTACTAAAACTCCCCGCAACCCATATATGTACATAATACATGCATGCATACATACATACATACATACATACATACATACATACATACATACGTACATACATACATAGATGTGTATATAATATACACATGGCAGGATTGGCGCCGTTGCTGTTTAAACCCTGAACCCTTAACCCCATAGGTACTCATCTTGCCGGCGGGCCTCAACATCTTGATGGTCGTACGAACTTTCCGCTTTGGTCGCACTATATACTTTTCTCTTCTAGTTAATCGCTCACTACTACATCTGCATTGTCTTTATATCCATATCGACGTCTACATGAGCTCGGATGGATTTATACTGATGCGTAGAATTTCTCATTCTCATACATTTATATGTACACACATGTATGTAAGCACCCGTGGCCTACATTCATATTTGCGTATAAGCCCAATTGAGGCAATTACTTATAACTTCTAACCATACTTACTAAGTCAACTGACACTCCAAGTAACCCTGAAACTCGGCGAAACTCGGCGAATCCGCGCTGAAAGCCATGATCCTTTAAGTACCCCTAAAACCAAAATAGATCCCCTTATAGCAGACCTTCTAGAAACCCTTGTAGAAATCCCCTTGAAAGGGTCGAGTCCCCGACATAATGCAGGATTCATACTATCATCCTAGGTAGTATTAGGGAGTCCCCTTAAAGGGGACCCTTCTTAACCCTACTTAATGGCTCTCTTAAAAAAGGGGCCTTATTCAAACATAGATCCCCTTATAGCAGACCTTATAGAAACCCTAACCCTAAAACCCTAAAACCCTAAAACCCTAAACCATAGAATCCCTTGAAAGGGTCGAGTCCTCGAGGCTCTGGCTGCCAGCTTCCGCTTGGTTTGCCAGATGGAGGCCGGGGGTGCTCCCGCACGGGCCACCCTGCGCCCAAACTTCACGGGCTTAGGGCTTAAGGGTTTAGGGTTTAAGGGCTTAGGGTTTAGGGTCTAGGGTTTAGGGTTTAAGGGGGTTTAGGGTTGAGGGGTTAGGGTTTAGGGTCCAGGGTTTCGGTTGAAGCCATGGGACCCTTAACCCTGGGATCCTTATACATCTGCTATATACCCTATATGTACCTTTAAGGGACCCTAGAAAAGGGGTAAGGGTCCGTATTAGGGGCCCATACTTCTAACCTTAGATGCTTCCAAACTGTAAAGGTCCAAAGTTTAGGGCTTAGGCGTTGAAGCCCATGGGGTTTCGGGTTTTTAACTTTGGGGTTTAGGGCTTATAAACTTTATGGAGATTCGGGTTTAAGTTTAAGGGGCTATGGGGTTTAGGGTTTAGGGGTTCTTTGGGGTGCTGAGGTCTAGGCAACTGAATGCAGTGGCTCAGGAGTTGTGCAGGACGCGAGGCAAACAACGCGTGCCTCGCTCTCCGTTGCCCCCGAGACCTCAGCCAGGAAGCAGCAGAATCTCAGATTGATGTCTCGGGTTTAGGGTTTAGGATTTAGGGTTTGGGGTTTAGGGTTTGGGGTTTAGGGCTTCGGGGTACACACATACATACATGTCTAAGGGCATGCGGGTGTCATGATGTAGGGCTTAGGCCGAGCCCTGGCGTGTCTGCGGGTCCACAACTTGCCACGTTGGGGCTGAAGCAGCATATGCGCAACCCTAAACCCTAGACCCTAAACCCCAAACCCCAAACCCTAAACCCTAAACTCTAAACCCCAAACCCTCAACCCTAAACCCGAGACAACTTCTGATCTAGTCCTTCCAAACGAATCTCTGCTGAGCACCCCACGCCAAGCCCAGGGAAGCCAACGGCAGTGCTAGGGCCTTGCAGGCCTTCTGCGGAATTTCTGAAGCGGGTTTAGGATTTGGCGTACAAGGTTTGGATTTAGGGGGTTTAGGGTTTAGGGTTTATCGTTTAGGGTTTAGGGTTTAGGGTTTAGGGGGTTAGGGTTTAGGGTTTAGGGTTTAGGGGGTTAGGGTTCAGGGGTGGAGAAGCGTTTATCCTGCAGAGTCTTGTGATGCTGGCTTTGTTTCCTAAGTCAGAAAACAAACCCTGAAACCGAAGGGCCCTATCAAACCTAAACCCGGGGTCCTGGCCAAGGACAGCGGAGGCTGATCCCTGTTAACCCTTGAAGCCTACAGCGCGTAAGCCCCAAAAAGCCCCAAGAAAACCCAAGGAAAAACCCTGCAGAACACAAAAAAAGTGCCCGAAACCTCTAGAGACCCTCTAAAGCCCGTATAAAAACTCACAGAAAGCCCATCCAAACCCTGCAAGACTTCTCTCATCTGCTCGCCTTTGCACGAGAGAAGCCGGAGGAAGGGGTCTCTTTTGGCCTCAGCCAAGACAGGGCTTCGGGTGTAGGGCTTAGGGCTTTTGGGGCTTAGGGTTTAGGGCTTAGGGTTTAGGGTTTAGGGCTTAGGGTTTAGGGCTTAGGGTTTGCCGTAGAATGGCGTGTAAGCGGAAGAAGCATCTGGCGATAGTGCAGTTTCGAGTGTATCGTGATTTGACGATTCGTTGCTCGAGCCTGAATGTCGACGGCTCTTCCTTTTTTGCTTTTCCCACCCCACGCCGCCTAAAACGGCCAAACCACCCAAACCTATTCCTTTTAGAGAGGTTTATAGCTCTGAACTCTATGGCTTTCTTCAAGGGCAGGGCAGGGGAGGCCAGTCAGGGCCTGAAAGGAGGCGGCGGGGGTCTAGGGAGGGCCACGCAGCGGCACAGGCCAGGTCTTGTTTAGGACCGGCCTGGAAATTGTAGGGGGGGGCGGCCTAAGCCTTGAGTTTAAGGTTTAGGGTTTAGGGTTTAGGGCTTAGGGTTTAGGGTTTAGGGCTTGGGGTTTAAGGTTTCGGGCTTAGGGTTTCGGGTTTAGGCCTGGGTTTAGGGTTTAGGGCTGAGATCTCAGACGGGTTGTTTTAGTACTACAAACTATGATCTTACTCTAAGGGCTGTTGTGCTGCAAAAAGGCCCTGCTATGTTGCCAGGAGGGTTTTTGATGCAGGCTGTCATACTAGAAGGGTTTAGGGTTTAGGGGCTTCGGCGGTTTAGGGCTTAGGGTTTTGGGTTTAGGCTCGGCTTCCTTGAAGCACTTCAACAACCTAGCAGTCGGAACGAAAACTGACTCTGGAGTTCCGGTGCAAAGGCCTTGTCTTCGCCTGAACCCTAATGCCTAAACCGCCTGAACCCTAAACCCTAAAACATTAAACCCCTAAACCCTAAGCCCTAAACGTTAAGCCCTAAACCCCTAAACCCTGAACCCTAAACCCTTATAAACCGCTGCCCCGGCGGTTCCTCTGAGGCTCCGACAGAGCCGAAGTTGTGGGAAGATGAGGCGCCTTTTTGGTGAAGCCGGAGTGGGGGGTGACTGCGAAGGGAAGTAAAAGTGTACATATGTACAGATGTATGTATGCATGTATGCAGCATATGCATATACATATATGTGTGTATATAAAACAAGACGTGCTATGTAGAAGGGGTACTATGAGGGTACTATGGTTAATTGCCATAACGGGTACTATGCTTTATTGCGTAGTATAAGAGGTACTTGGCAACGAATGGGGGTGCTGTAAGGCGTGCAAGGGGTACGGCCCGGCAAGAAAGAGTGCCAAAATAGACTGACTGCGCGGTTGAGGCCGGCACTGTGGCCGGGGTCGCAGGCCGCGCAGGTGCTGCAAGCTCCATCTCTCGAAACCTACAGCCTTGAAAGTCAGGTCGCTCACACGTGCAGCGGCGTTCTGTTGTAGGAATCATACACCTGTATGACTTTACGGCCCCGGTGCCTGAAGACGCTGATGTCTGAGCCAGATAGTGTGGGCAATTTGGCAACAAAGGTCAGTCTCTTGCTAGCTTACCCTTGCCAGGGTTCTCCTTCAACAGTGCCTGAGATCGAAGTGCACAGGAAGGCAGCACATGGCAGCGGCAAGGAGCCTTTCAGGTTTGTCTTTAGCTTCTGCAGAAGATACGGGGCATGGGACATCATGGGACTGCTGCCTCAAGCAGCTGGATGCACTCCTCCATGTGCCGGTCCCAAGGCAACCTACTGACGGAAGAACCCTAAACTTTAAACCCTAAAACCACACAAAAGCATCATGCGATATGCATCCAGCGCTCAGCTCACGCCGTGCCCATCTCCATCCCGGCAAGCTCAATCGCATTGAGAGAATGCTGCATGGAGTCAAGGATCCTGGGCTTTGGCTACAAGAGCTTAATTTCAATGACTGCCATAACAAGGGAAACCATAGTATAACCACAGTAAGGAAACCATCATATTTACTGTAGATCCCTACCATGGTAGCTGAAACTTCAACTCCTCGCCTAGAACCCCAAAGAATGGAATCCCTAAACCCTAAACCCTAAACTCCTAAACTCCCTAAGCCTTGAAGCTCCTCAAAAAGAGCCCGGGTTCGGAGGTTGGGTTTCCATCCGCCTGCCCCACTCCTCCTGCGAGGACAAGAGCCTCAGGTAGGCAACCCCATGGACGGCTTCCTCCCCCTCGACTCTGTAGCCATAGCCTGGGCTGTTGTTAGGGCTTAGGGCTTAGGATTCAAGGAACTTAACTTTAGCTACCATAGTAAGGAAACCATGTTAGCTGCGTGAGGGTTTGTGGTTGATATTGTCTTGGTAGCTCACCCCACCAAGCTTATGAATATTTTTTGTGGCTGCCAATTGTTGAGGTAGGGGTTGATCACTTCACTGAAGTCTATTCCCCTTGCAAGCACATGCAGTGACACGCTCTTTTCACAGATAGCGCTCAGTCGTAGATCTGTCCAGCGGGAATGGCTCGGACTCTTGGATCTGACGCCTACAGCTAAGTCGTAAGCTGTTGGCTTATGGCAGTTTGTTGAGCCACAAAGTTGCGAGTGAGGAAGAGCACTCTGATGTAGACATACCCTGTACATTCTGCGAAGCAGAAGTGTAGATGAGTGGTTGGTAGTTGGTAGAGCACAGTCTGTCAAGCAGGCCTGTGATACCTTGAACTCTCGTAGCTCTTATCGTGACACCCACGACTTCTACGAGGCATCGAGAGTCTGTCCGCATTAGTTTACTATAGATCCCCATCATGGGAACTGAAAATTAAGCTCCTCAACAAGAGCCCAAGAGCAGCGCCGGAACCTGGGGCCGTAGCCCAAGCCTCCCATACGGAAGGACAGGTAGAGCAGAGCGTGGCTCATTCCCGTCATTACCATGGAGCCAGAACTGCGGCTCTTCGAGATGGGCGCTCCTCCGGAAGTCTGCTGGTGCTTCTTCAAGAATTGGACCAGGCCAACCTGATCCTCGTCATCCTCAATGATGAGAGCTGCCTTTACATCCTCGTCGGTGTAGCCGGAAAGGTCTTCCAGGCGAGCCATAGCAGCTTTGAACTCATCCGCATCGCGCCGGCGCGTGGCCTGCGTCAAGTCGCGAAGGGCTTCTAGTGCGTCGCGCCGGTTCGGAGCCTGCTCTGTGTGGCCGGACTTCGTCTGCAAGCGGCTGACGACCCGCCGAGCTTCCGTAACGAGTGCACCGGCTTTGCTGGACTTCGCAGCGATCAAGGCCTTCTCAGCCGACTTCAATGCAGCCGCCGTCCCGCCCATGAAGTCCTCGTCTTGCGATAGTCCCCTAATCTGGATAGTTTTTAAACCCAGGTATAACTACCCAGGAGCTCCCAAGTTCAAAAAAAAACATGGATCGTGTATGAAGTCCTCGACTTGCGATAGGAGCAATAAGGTCTGACCCTCCAGCTCAGCAGCTGCTGTTCCTTTCAGCAAGTCCACGGCCTTCCTCAGAGCACTGCGAGCCTCTCCGTAGATCTTCCTGGCGATGTAAGCATCCGCCAAGATCCTGGGTTCTTGGTACAGAGCTTAACTTAAGTTTGTTTAGGGTTTAGGGTTTAGGGTTTTGGGTTTTGGGTTTATAAATGGCAAAGGAAAATAACAACAATCACAAGCATAACAAGAATAAACCACAGGCTATGACTAGGCCGTAAGCTACCGTAACAAATAAGACCAAACCACATGATCATTGTGATTCTACTTTAGATTCCAGGAGTGGTAGCTCAAGATGAAGTTCTTTGAAAACCCAGGACTGTGGAACTTAAAGTTACCATAAGAAACCATATGCCATATGACGCGTGGTTCTACCTGAACTCTAAACCCTAGACCCTAAACACCAGACCCTAAACCCTCAACCCTAAACTTTGGGTACTGCCCCCAGACAGTAACTGTCTATCCTAAACCCTAGACCCTAAACCATAGACCCTAAACCCTCAACCCTAAACTTAACAAGCCAGGATCTGGTACGCCGAGACCTGCCCGGCAATATCCTGCTCGGACTCGAAGAGGTTCAGCTCCTCCAGCTCATGCTTGGGATCGTCTTAGGGGTTCGGGTTTAGGCTTTAGGGTTTGGGGTTCATGGTTGGGATAATATATAATCTGTTCCTTGGGAACCAGTACCCAGAAACATGCAAATTGTTACCCAACTGTGACAAAGTCCTCTTCTGTGGCCTGAAGTGTGGCCAAGGTGTCCAAGCCCAAGCTTCGCGTGAGAGTGTCCAGGGCCGCGAGCCGGCCGCGTCGATGTCTTAGCCTGGGCTCTTGCTACGGAACGCAGGTTTTAGATACCATAATCATAAGGAAACCATGTTAATTTATATATCTACAATAAGTCCCTGTTCTGGCAACTTAGACCCTAAACCCTCAACCCTTATGGAACCCTTAAAGGCTTAATTAACGATCCGTACTCTCGCAACCTTCCTTAACTCGAAAACCCAGAAGCTGACGGAAGAGCTCCTGCGCACGGCGCGCGGCCCCTTGGGCCTCGAGGCCGTTTCCCTGCTCCAGCCGGGCTTCCGCAACGCCAAAGAGCATCGCTGCAGCCTCTCCCTCCTGCTGTTTTGGGGGCCTTGAGGGTTAGGGCAGGGTTTGCGGCTTCGGGTTTAGAGCGTAGGGGGAGCAAGGCCTTTCTAGGGCCTTCTGGGTTTAGGCTTTGCTGTGCCTAAGAAGGCTCCTTGTCCCCAAGCCTCCGGAGAAGCGCGGCTGTTTGGTTCGAGGACTCCAGAGATGCAAAGGGCGAGTCACCCTTCGCAGCCTGTTGCAGCGCTTTTCTGGCTGCACTCCTGCAGGGAAGAGTGCGACGGAACCGAAAAATGCTACGGCAACTTGATATAACATCAAAGCCTGCCCTGCCTGCCGGAAAAATCCCAGATGAGGAGAAGAGGGTCTTTAAAAAGCTCTCTCCTCTGTTTTTAAAACCCCTCTCCTGCCGAAAAACAAGAAGAGGAGAGCCATTACGTGCAACGCTTCACCTCTCTTCTTCAACAACCAGGCCCAAAAAAGTGCAAACTTTTTAGGATAGACATAATATATAAGGCCAAAAAGTTTAAAGTTCTACCATTGGCTATCTAAGTCACACTGGCCATCATCGTCCCGAGTTTCCCGTGCCAGGGCGAGGGCCTTCGGAGGAATGCCGCTCGGCAGTGGCCCAACTCTTTCGAGTTCAGGGTTTAGGGTTTAAGGGTTTAGGATTTAGGGAAGTTTAGAGCTATAGAGTTTAGAGTTTAGGGGTTTAGGGTGTAGGGATTGTGGCAATCTCACCCCCTTGTTAAGCCAAATTAAGCCTCGCAAACCTACAGGGGCCCGTAAAAGAAGGCAGCCCTGAAGCAAGCATCTTTCAATCCGCCTCCCAAGCCGAGACAGCTGCCGGGGCCATCGCTTCCGCGGCGAGATGGGCATTGGCTTCCTGGGCCGCTTCGTCGCGAAGGCAGTGAGGCGATGGCCCCATGGTTTAAAGTAAAAACTTTAGGGTTTAGGGTTTATACTGTTGCAACCTAAGCCCTATACGCCCCAAGCCCCCTCAACCCTCAACGCCCTAAACGTCCTAAACCCCCTAAGCCCTTAAACCCTGCACCCCCTAAGCCCCCTGAGCCCTAAACCCCCTAAACCCCAAATGCTCTCGCCCGCTTAAAAGTCCATGGAGCCTCTCCCAGAAGCTCAGGCCTTGGCCTTATAAAGGTACTATGATGGGATATTACTATATGCTATCAGGGCCCTTTAAAGGTTGCGGAGACTCTCAGGGTACTATAAGGGCCCTTTGAAGGTTACGGATGCTATAAGGGGCCTTTAAAGGGCAAGGATACTCTAAGGGTTCTACAAATCAGCGCCCTTTAAAGGTTAAGGGTGCTCTAAGGGTACTCGAAGTGCTTCAAGGGGAACCTCAAGCCGCGACCCTGCCGACAACCATGAGGGCGGCAGCCTCACTCGTATTATTCCTTAGGGGCTAGGGCTGGGGCCTCGGGCTTAGGGCTCAGGGTTTAGGGCCTAAGTTTGGGGTGTTTGGTTTAGGGCCTAAGTTTAGGGTTTAGGGTTTAGGGCCTAAGTTTAGGGCTTAGGGTTTAGGATTGAAGATGTAAGGCTTTTTTGTTGAAGGTTCTCTTCCTCCCTGCTACAGTCGGAAGACCACTCTTCTAATTATTACAGCCCCTATACTAAACCGATCATTCGTCCTGGCAGTCAGCGGCTCTGCTAATTGGAACGACGAGGGCCCGCTTCATTCAACAGTGAGAAGCCCTCAAACCCGAAAGCCTAAACCCTAAACCCGATGAGAAAGGGGACTATCAGGGTTTCTACAATCATTCTATAAGGGCACTGTATGGCACGGTAAGGGCTGTCTGAGGTCTAGCCCTGTAGAGCTTCAGCGGTTTAGGGTTAGCGCAAACCGTAAACCCCGAACTCTGTCTCAGCCCGGATGCTGCCACGTGGAGTCGGAGAAGAAGCGCCCTGAATCAGCTTGATGCGACTCAGTGAGAACTTGCAGCATCTCACGCAAAACCCTACAACCTACCATAATGGTTGCTAGAAGGGTTGCCACACGCAAGGAATCTTATTTTGAGGGGGGGCTGTACGGGTTACTGAAGGTATAATTTATAAGTCTATACCCTGAACGCAGAGACTCCGAAACCCCTGAATTAAGGAATAATTCCTGAATTATCGTAGCATCCCCCCAAAATATGAGTCAAGGTAGACTCCTGAATTCAGAAATTTCTGGGAGTCTCTGGAAACCCTGGACCCCAAAAACCCCCGTTAAAAAAAAAAACATAGTTGCCTCGTTTTTGTAACCCTGAACCCTAAACCCTATAAACCCTAAACCCTAAACGCCTAAACCCCTGAACCCTAAACCCCTAAACCCTAAACCCCTAAACCCTAAATAGTTACCAAGCTCCGCGATCCTTTCAAGCATCCTGGACCCTCGCGCCTGCTTTGCTTCTCCGATGACGAGGCCTTTCGAGAAATGATTTGTCGGCCTGGGCTCGAAGATCAAGATACGACTCCCTAAACCCTAAACCCTAAGCCCTAAACCCAATGTCCTAAACCCTAAACCCTAAGCCCTAAACCCTAAGCCCTAAACCCTAAACCTGACCTCTACCATAAGCCCTCAACCCTCAACCCTAAACCCTGCCTCTACCCTAAACCCAAAGCCCTAAACCCTACCTCTACCGTAAACCTTAAGCCCCAAACCCTAAGCCCTAAACCCAAAGCCCTAAACCCTACCTCTACCCTAAACCCTGAAGCCTACATCCTAAACCTTAAATCCCTAAACCCAAAACACGTGGAGGGCTTCGGGAGCTGAGGGCTTCGGCGTTTCAGGGGCTTAGGTTAAAGGAAACTACAGATGGAAAGTTTAGGGTATACAGGGCTTCTATAAGGCTTCTAGAAGGTATATAGACCTTCTGTAAGGCTCCTATAACGGTAACTACCCACCTGAAAATGTCCTCGGATTGGGGTCTCGGGTGTCGGTTGGGGCTTCGGGGTGTTGAGGGCTCACGTTTCGGGAAGCTACCTATAGTCTCCATTGTAGTTCCTTTTTGGGGATGCCGTTGAAAATCCTAAATATAAAACTGGTTAAACCAAAAAAGGGGGAAAAAAAAACAGGGAACTACAATGGAGATTACAGGTAAACCCGAAACCCCTAAACCCTCAACCCTGTCCTCAAGCACCCCCACCCTTCTGGCGCCTTCGCTTGCGTAGCCCTGCGCCGTCTTCGCATCCCCGGCCTGCCCGCAGGATTGAGCAGCAGAACAAAAGCACAAGATGTATAGGGTTTAGAACTCAACAATTTAAGGTTCAGAGTTTGGGGTCTAGAGTCTAGAGTTTAAGGTTTATGGTTTAGGATTAAAATTTACGGTTGACAGTTTAAGGTTTAGGGTTTAGGCTTTGGGGATTGAGGGTTCAGGGTATATGTGCACTGGCGGTGTGAATCTGTGTCTCTCCATTTACCTTTCCGGCTACCTGCCTGCCTGCCTGCCTGCCTCTCAACCTGCTCGTCTCTATCACTGTTTCTTCGTATATAACATGTGTATATATATATGCATAAATACATACATACATACATACATACATACATATATATATATATGCTACCCCCCCCGAAGCCCACAGATTTCATGATTTTAGGCATAATCTAGCAAGGTACTGCTCTGCTTCTACTCTACGCCGACACCAGGCCGCACGAACGCAGGAAGCTTGCACTCTTGCTCGTACGCCGACACTGGGCAGCAGGACCACATGAATGTCAGGCTCTTGCCATGGTACTGGCATTTCCCTGTCACTGCTACTTGTGA